TTGTCAATTCCCCTGAGTATTTTATATGTCCCTATCATATCTCCTCTCTCCCTTCTTTTCTCTAGTGTCGTAAGGTTCAGTTCCTTCAGCCGCTCTTCATATCCCATCCCTCGTAGCTCTGGGACAAGCCTCGTCGCAAACCTCTGAACCTTCTCCAGTTTCATTATGTGTTTCTTCAGGTGGGGGCTCCATGATGGCGCGGCATACTCTAAGACGGGTCTCACGTAGGCAGTGTAAAGCGCCCTAAAAGCTTCCTCATTTAGGTTTCTGAATGAAGTTCTAATTTTCGCCAGTGTAGAGTACGCTGCTGTCGTTATCCTATTTATATGTGCCTCAGGAGTTAGATTAGGTGTCACATCCACTCCCAGGTCTCTTTCTCGAATCGTTACAGGTAGGCTGTTCCCCTTCATTGTGTACTGTCCCTTTGGTCTCCTGTCACCTGATCCCATTTCCATAACTTTACATTTACTGGTGTTAAACTCCAGTAGCCATTTCTCTGACCATCTCTGCAGCCTGTTTAAGTCCTCTTGGAGGATCCTACAATCCTCGTCTGTCACAACTCTTCTCATTAATTTTGCGTCATCTGCAAACATCGACATGTATGATTCCACTCCTGTAAACATATCATTTACGTAAATTAGAAAGAGGATTGGTCCCAGCACCGATCCTTGAGGTACTCCACTTGTTACTGTTCGCCAGTCCGACTTTTCGCCCCTTACCATTACCCTCTGGCTCCTTCCTGTTAGGTAGTTCTTCACCCATACTAGGGCCTTTCCGCTTACTCCTGCCTGCCTCTCAAGTTTGTATAGCAGTCTCATGTGCGGTACCGTATCAAAGGCCTTTTGGCAGTCAAGAAATATGCAGTCTGCCCAGCCTTCTCTGTCCTGCCTTATCCTTGTTACTTTATCATAGAATTCTAAAAGGTTTGTTAGGCATGATTTCCCTGTCCAGAACCCATGTTGGTGCTTGTTTACAAACCCAATGCTCTCCAGGTGCTCAACAAGTCTTAGCCTAATTATTCTTTCAAGTATTTTGCAGGGGATGCTTGTCAGTGATACGGGTCTGTAGTTAAGTGCCTCCTCCCTATCCCCCTTTTTGAAAATCGGTACGACATTTGCCTCCTTCCAGCAACTGGGCAATTCTCCCGACATAAGTGACTCATTGAAGATCATTGCCAGAGGCACGCTGAGAGCCTGCGCTGCCTCTTTAAGTATCCACGGTGATACTTTGTCTGGTCCAACAGCTTTATTTGCATCCAGTGTTGTCAACTGTTTCATTACATCCTCTGCTGTCACCTCTATATCTGATAGTCTTTCATCTTGGGTAATCTCTTCTAACAATGGGAGCTGCTCAGGCTCGGTAGTGAACACTCCATGGAATTTTGCATTCAGTACCTCGCAGATTTCCTTGTCGCTTTCTGTATATGCCCCTTCTGTTTTCCTCAGTCTTGTCACTTGGTCATTTACCGACATCTTCCTTCTTATATGGCTATGTAGTAATTTTGGTTGCTTTTTCGCTTTGACTGCAATATCGTTCTCATAATTTCTTTCCGACACTCGTCTTATGTTAATGTAATCATTCCTAGCTCTGTTACATCTAATCCTGTTGTCCTCTGTCCTTTGCCTTCTGTACTTCCTCCACTCCCTCCTGCTTCTCACCTTTGCTTCCTGACACTGTCTATTAAACCATGGGTTATTATATTCCCTCCTGCTTTTTTCCTTTATTGTTGGAATAAATCTATCTTCAGCCTCCTTGCATTTCAATATGACTTGGTTCATCATACCTTGCACTGTTTTTCCTCTAAGTTCTTCCTCCCACTGCACTTCTCCCAGGTAGTCCCTTATCCTTCTGTAGTCCCTTATCCTTCTGTAGTCCCCTTTTCTGTAATCAAGTCTCCTTTCTTGGACCTCTTGTCCTTTGGTCACAATTTTAAGCTCCATCATGTAGTCAAAGGCTAGGACACAATGGTCACTAGCTCCTAGTGGTATTTCATGTTCCAACTGCTCGATGTCTTCTACATTCTGAGTGATAATGAGATCTAATAGGCTGGGCGTATCCCCTCCTCTTTCCCTAGTATCTTCTTTCACATGCTGTGTTAGGAAATTCCTGTCAATAACGTCTACCAGCTTCGCTCCCCAGGTCTCCTCCCCGCCATGGGGATTCCTCGTTTCCCAATCTATCTCTCCGTGATTTAGGTCCCCCATGACCAGCAGCTTCGCTCTCATTCTATGCGCTAAAGTTGCTGCCCTCTGCAGTTCATCCATGTGTGTGTGCGTGTGTGTGTGTGTGTGTGTGTGTGTGTGTGTGTGTGTGTGTGTGTGTGTGTGTGTGTGTGTGTGTGTGTATGTGTGTTATAGGCTTTTGTGTGCTTCTAAAATACATATTGATATAAGAGCGTCATGTAAATTTTTAGTGAATAAATTCTTGAATGTGAGTCAGAATCATTTATCTATAATTATTTAACGACTTTTAAGTATTGAGTTTTAAAGAAATGTAAAAAAAAAAAAATAAATAAAAAAAATAGCCAGGAGTCCGATAAAAATTAAGAATAGTGTTAAAGGTCAAATTATCTCATCTATCCTACTTGTTTATGAAAGTCTAAAAACAAAAAAAAAAAAAACAAAAAATTGAAAAAACTTACAAATTAAATAAACATATCTAAACAATGTTCTAAATTCTAAACTACATTCTGAGGTGCAAATATCATCCGAAAAGTTTCTGGTGCAATGTTGCATTGCTTACTGCCAAATCTTGGAATAATTATTTCTTGCATGTATGTATTTCTTGTATGACTTGTGCAAGGACTAAACGCGTCCCCTATTTTTTTTTAATTACTTCAGATGAAATATTTTTTTTATTCTTAATGACGCAATTACAGTAGATGAAGGCTTTTGATCCTTTGTTTTACGGTCTTGTTCATCACGACGACGTGGGCTGGATAAGGTCCCGCTGCCTTTGATAGGCCGCAGGTCGCTATGAATGGTTGAGGCACATCCTGGTCTATCTTTATCCATTTCCTGATTAGCGGCATCACTTTCCACTGACTGTGGTTTCTCTGGACTGCACTCTCTTTGGTCTTCAGTTTCTCTAGACTGCAGTTTATCCGGACTGCAGTTTATCCAGACTGCAGTTTCTCTGGACTGCAGTTTATCCAGACTGCCGTTTCTCTGGACTGCAGTTTATCCGGACTGCAGTTTATCCAGACTGCAGTTTCTCTGGACTGCAGTTTATCCAGACTGCAGTTTATCCAGACTGCAGTTTATCCGGACTGCAGTTTCTCTGGGCAACAGTTTCTCTGGACTAAACTGTATAGCATAGACTACCATTTAATGTTCAATCCAAGAAGGCACTATGAAAATATCAATAAGAACAATACAAATGACCAAAGAAATGCAGCTTCATCTTTTTATATTCCAATTTTTTCCACAATTGTTTATAGATAATATTATGCTAACTTTACTCGTGTTTGAGTATCACATCTTCCAGGTTCTGATGCTCTGGGAACATGTAAGAGCGCGCTGCGTGTGGGGCACAAGCGGCATATATTACGTTGTGGGGAAGGCTTCAGCGTTAGTTCTTTTTTAATGATATACTGTGCAATCCTACCTGTGTGTGCTGTGTCCTATATAAGAAAAAATCAATTACAAAAGAATTTTTCATTTTATATATGTTTGTTTTCAGGTTATTATTGTGTGTTATTAATATCATCTTAACTCTTGTGGGCTGTGATGAGATCTGCCATTTATGTGCGTTTTAATTTGTGTTTGATAGGGTATTAGGTATGCTTAGGGATGCCTTCTCGCCATGCCCCTGTGGCTGGGGGGATTGGTGCCCTGAAGCTACATAAACTCCCTATACCCCCCTTCCCCGAAGTGGCAAGGAGAGTTAGGAGATAACAATTGCGCAGAAGAACAGGTTTGGTAAGAGGAGTTTTTTTTTTTTTTTTATTATTATTTTCTACCACAGACGTGGCCACACATTTACAATGCTAACCAGCATATATACATTTTCTTCTGTCCTCCATGGACAGGGTTAGAGAAGTGTTAAACATATAGTTCAAGGGTTTATTGAACACTCAACCACAGAAGGTGATTCGGTGCTTTTAAAATGCTAAGCTAACCTACATACGTAAATACATAGATACACAGATTTACGTATGCTCTACATAAAGTGTTAGATGTGTCTTTTACATAGTGTCATTAATGTACATTCACAAAGGTGAAATGTAATTCTGATCAGCTTCCATATATACTTTATACCCATACATATACATACACACACACACACACATATACATACATATATACACACACACACATGCATTCACATACATTTGTCTCATTTACTCTGACAGGGTGAGGTAGCTGATAAAGAAACTAGTGTGCAATTAAGCACTTAATCACTGAAGGTGATGAAGGTGCTTTTACAAGCTCAGGTTATATAGTTACATCATATATATACATTGTATGATTGATAAGGAGTGTTGGGTAGGTACCACGGGCTGCCGGCTGTGTTACTGAGACACTTTCACCGGCTTGTTTTAGGCTACTCAGTTTCACTAATAGATTGGAAAGGTGAGACGGGGGAGTGGTTTTCAGCCGGACCCGCCTAGTTCGGGCCAACAGAAGTGGTGGACATGAACAAGACCATCCAGGCCAGCAGACCTGGACTTGGATTCATCAAGCATTTACGCACCTTCTTACGAAACCTTTACATCAACAAACATGGCGCCTTTGTGGCAAATTTACTGAACAGTCTTCGAGCTGTTTCGAGTCATCGAAACCCTACGACCCAATGTTATTATTATTATAAACAGCCTCGTAGTGCTTTGGTCCTTATAAACAGTTTATTAAATATAAACAACGCTGCAGTTTTCGAAGAAAGATACACAGGTTTCGCAATTTGCTGCCCAAGACCTTAATAAATTCCAGCTCTGCTCCAAAGCTCCCTAATTCTTAGGTTCTTGTGGACTAAATCCATTTTTCTTTCCATTTGAACAGTTTTACCAAGCTGAGGAGAGCCGTTACGAGGTGCCAGTTGAGGTACGAGTGCCAGGGGGCGGTGCCAGGGACCCCCTGTACGAGGTGGCACTGCCCAGCCACCCACGACCCGGAGACCCCTTCTACTTCTACGTCGTCAGGAGAGACACTGGCACCATCCTGTGAGTGGACCTTCAAGGAGCGAATTTATTTTGTATTGAATGAATGCTCGATGGAAGCATTATTGCTAAGATTAATGAGAGCCGCCCATCATTAAAATATTGATCACTACACACAGCCCATCATTGAAATATTGATCACTCTACACACAGCCCATCATTAAAATATTGATCACTCTACACACAGCCCATCATTAAAATATTGATCACTCTACACACAGCCCATCATTAAAATATTGATCACTCTACACACAGCCCATCATTCAAATATTGATCACTCTACACACAGCCCATCATTAAAATATTGATCACTCTACACACAGCCCATCATTCAAATATTGATCATTCAACACGCAGCCCATCATCAAAACATTGATCACTCATCAAACAATTGACAACTCTGCACACGGCCATCATCAAACTATTATGTTACCTAACGATCACTGTCCCTCGGCCGACGGTCAATACACCTCGGCCGACGGTCAATACACCTCGGCCGACGGTCAATACACCTCGGCCGACGGTCAATACACCTCGGCCGACGGTCAATACACCTCGGCCGACGGTCAATACACCTCGGGCCGACATTTATTCTCGCCCCTGAGGTTCGACACGAGGATCGGGGGACTGACGTTCTCGGAGCAGTTCCTGAGCATCAGCAGCACGTTGCCCAGCAGGAACGTGTACGGCCTCGGGGAGAACGCCCACCACACCTTCAGGCACCACCTGGGAGGGAAGGTGTGGCCCGTCTTCTCCAGGGACCAGGGGCCCGTCCCAGGGGTGAGTCCTACATCAAAATGAATCAAAATGACTCCCGAATCACATTTTAGAAAACGGGTTTTAATCTAAATTTATCGTGTATCTAAATATCGGTTAATGTAAGTTTGTTTTTAGCGTAGAGAGTCTTGTAGGTTGGTGTATAGGGTATTAGGAGGAGTATCCGGCGGTGCCCGGGTGCCCTCTCCTCCTCCTCCCTTGTTAAGCATCACTTCCCTTTTATAAAATATAATATTCTGGAGAAATGAAGCTATTGTATAGATCTTTAGAGAATTATTTTTTTAAGATGACGAAACACACTTCGGCCGTCTTCACCAACATGTCACACTTGACCAGAATGGAATCCGTGAAAATCGGATGAGGGTTATGTGTTAATAATTATTAATATTTCTTAAATCATTTAACTTAGGACTACGTTGGGAAGCCTATGTCCGTCCTTTACCCCAGACCATTCCCCCTACAAATTTGTGTAAGGCCAGTCACAAATGTCTGGCCTCCAGCTTCGGACAGACAGACAAGCATACAATCGCACTCTTGTAGCAGAGGTACGCAGTGGTAAATGACATTGTACTGAGAGGTCAGAACACGAGGACTTAACACGTTTAATCCATAAGCATTTAAATTATGAACAAAATTTTATTTTATTTTATTTTATTAAATATTTAATATTTTATTTTATTAATTACCGTTAATTAAATAAGAAAGCTTTCGATGCACCCTCATCTACCACCACCCGCACCCTCATCTACCACCACCCGCACCCTCATCTACCACCACCCGCACCCCTCATCTACCACCACTTGCACCATCATCTACCCCACCTGCACCATCATCTACCCCACCTGCACCATCATCTACCCCACATGCACCATCATCTACCCCACCTGCACCATCATCTACCCCACATGCACACTCATCTACCACCACCTGCAACCTCATCTACCCCCACATACAACCTCATCTACAACCACATGCACCCTCATCTACCACAACCCACACCCTCATCTACCACAACCCACACCCTCATCTACCACAACCCACACCCTCATCTACCACAACCCACACCCTCATCTACCACTACACACACCCTAATCTACCAAAACATACACCCTAATCTACCATCACCTACACTATCATCTACCACCCACATATACCCTCATCTACCCCCACCAACACCATAATCTACCCCACCTACACCCTCATCTACCCCCACATACACGCTCATCTACCACTACCTAAACCAGAGGGTGAGTGGGAGCCAGAGGGTGAGTGGGAGCCAGAGGGTGAGTGGGAGCCAGAGGGTGAGTGAGAGCCAGAGGGTGAGTGGGAGCCAGAGGGTGAGTGAGAGCCAGAGGGTGAGTGGGAGCCAGAGGGTGAGTGAGAGCCAGAGGGTGAGTGAGGGAGCCAGAGGGTGAGGGTGAGTGGGAGCCAGAGGGTGAGTGAGAGCCAGAGGGTGAGTGGGAGCCAGAGGGTGAGTGAGAGGCAAGGGTGAGTGGGAGCCAGAGGGTGAGTGAGAGCCAGAGGGTGAGTGAGTGAGAGCCAGAGGGTGAGTGGGAGCCAGAGGGTGAGTGAGAGCCAGAGGATGAGTGAGAGCCAGAGGGTGAGGGTGAGTGAGAGAGAGGGTGAGTGCCAGAGGGTGAGTGAGAGCCAGAGTGGAGAGCCAGAGGGTGAGTGAGAGCCAGAGGGTGAGTGAGAGCCAGAGGGTGAGTGAGAGCCAGAGGGTGAGTGAGAGCCAGAGGGTGAGTGAGAGCCAGAGGGTGAGTGAGAGCCAGAGGGTGAGTGGGAGCCAGAGGGTGAGTGAGAGCCAGAGGATGAGTGAGAGCCAGAGGGTGAGTGAGAGCCAGAGGAGTGAGTGAGAGCCAGAGGGTGAGTGAGAGCCAGAGGTTGAGTGAGTGGGAGCCAGAGGGTGAGTGAGAGCCAGAGGGTGAGTGAGAGCCAGAGGGTGAGTGAGAGCCAGAGGGTGAGTGAGAGCCAGAGGGTGAGTGAGAGCCAGAGGGTGAGTGAGAGCCAGAGGGTGAGTGAGAGCCAGAGGGGTGTTGTGACTAAGTGCTGACTGTGACGAGGTGCTGACTGTGACGAGATACTGACTGTGACGAGGTGCTGACTGTGACGAGGTGCTGACTGTGACGAGATGCTGACTGTGACGAGGTGCTGACTGTGACGAGATGCTGACTGTGACGAGATGCTGACTGTGACGAGGTGCTGACTGTGACGAGGTGCTGACTGTGACGAGGTGCTGACTGTGACGAGGTGCTGACTGTGACGAGGTGCTGACTATGACGAGGTGCTGACTGTGACGAGGTGCTGACTGTGACGAGATGCTGACTGTGACGAGGTGCTGACTGTGACGAGGTGCTGACTGTGACGAGGTGCTGACTGTGACGAGGTGCTGACTGTGACGAGGTGCTGACTGTGACGAGGAGCTGACTGTGACGAGGTGCTGACGGTGACGAGGTGCTGACTGTGACGAGGGGCTGACTGTGACGAGGTGCTGACTGTGACGAGGTGCTGACTGTGACTAGGAGCTGACTGTGACTAGGTGCTGACTGTGACTAGGTGCTGACTGTGACGAGGCACTAACAGTGCCAACACAAACAGTGTCCTTGCACATTCCTCTCAACAGGAAGTGTCTGTGGACATAACAGCTCCTTCTCACTCATTTACACTTCGCACCATTTGAACTTCAATTAATTAAATTAAAAACTATAAATGGATTTTTCGATTCATCAAAACATATTTGTGAATCATCAAGAGTGACGGGTGGGAGAGTGACGGGTGGGAGAGTGACGGGTGGGAGAGTGACGGGTGGGAGAGTGACTGGTGGGAGAGTGACGGGTGGGAGAGTGACTGGTGGGAGAGTGACGGGTGGGAGAGTGACGAGTGGGAGAGTGACGAGTGGGAGAGTGACTGGTGGGAGAGTGACGGGTGGGAGAGTGACTGGTGGGAGAGTGACGGGTGGGAGAGTGACGGGTGGGAGAGTGACGAGTGGGAGAGTGACGAGTGGGAGAGTGACTGGTGGGAGAGTGACGGGTGGGAGAGTGACTGGTGGGAGAGTGACGGGTGGGAGAGTGACTGGTGGGAGAGTGACGAGTGGGAGAGTGACTGGTGGGAGAGTGACGAGTGGTAGAGTGACTGGTGGGAGAGTGACGAGTGGGAGAGTGACGAGTGGGAGAGTGACGGGTGGGAGAGTGACGGGTGGGAGAGTGACGAGTGGGAGAGTGACTGGTGGGAGAGTGACGGGTGGGAGAGTGGGAGAGTGACGAGTGACGGGTAGAGTGACTGGTGGGAGAGTGACGAGTGGGAGAGTGACGAGTGGGAGAGTGTGGTAGAGTGACGGGTGGGAGAGTGACGGGTGGGAGAGTGACGGGTGGGAGAGTGACGGGTGGGAGAGTGACGGGTGGGAGAGTGACGGGTGGGAGAGTGACGGGTGGGAGAGTGACGGGTGGAGAGTGACTGGAGAGAGTGACGAGTGGGAGAGACGAGTGGGAGAATGACGAAAGGGAGAGTGACGAGTGGGAGAGTGACTGGTGGGAGAGTGACGAGTGGTAGAGTGACTGGTGGAGAGTGACGAGAGTAGAGTGACTGGTGAGAGAGTGACGAGTGGAGAGTGACGAGTGGGAGAGTGACGAGTGGGAGAGTGGAGGGAGGGAGAGTGACGGGTGGAGAGTGACGGGTGGGAGAGTGACGAGTGAGAGAGACGGGTGGAGAGGAGAGAGAGAGAGGAGAGACGATGTGGGAAAGTGACGGAGAGAGAGAGAGAGAGAGAGAGAGCGAGAGAGAGAGAGAGGAGAGAGAGAGAGAGAGAGAGAGAGAGAGAGAGAGAGAGAGAGAGAGAGAGAGAGAGAGAGAGAGAGAGAGAGAGAGAGAGAGAGGAGAGGAGAGGAGAGAGAGAGAGAGAGAGAGGGAGAGAGAGAGTGGGAGAGGTAGAGATAAAGCAGTTAACAACAGGTGGTAGAAGGACACCGAGAAAAGTATAAATGAAACTGTCGTAAATGAAAGGGCGGCAGAATTTTTGTCTTCCTAAGTGGCAGTTATAACTGATCCCCAGCCCTAACTACCACCAAGTCCCCCCCCTCTGGTCACAGGATAGGGCCGTAAGTGTCCACATATCCAGGGGACGACCCTGCTCGTCAACACTCATCAACACCTCAGACCAGCACGTATGGACCCAGCAAAAAGGAAAACTGTGTTTCGGATTTCCAGGAATGAAAACACTTTTTTATGTCGCTGCGTCACTCTCTAGTGGAGTTCTCTTGATGGATGGAAACTAATCTGTTGCTCTAATCTAGTCCTGGTTCCTGAAACTTGTCCTCCCTCAACTTGCTCCCTCCCTCACTGGTGCTGGAACACGGCTCCCTCTCACAATGGTGCTGGAACACTATTCATGCTTTCTCCAGTGTTTTCAAAACTCTTCCCTCCTTCAATAATATGGTTAATATAAAGTAATTCACTTAAAATTCCACGTCGTGGCCTCCTAAATTATCACACTATCCAGAGGGGATGATGATAACTACTAGCTGACACCCCAACACTGCCACCCTCGCTCACACCCCAACACTGCCACCCTCGCTCACACCCCAACACTGTCACCCTCGCTCACACCCAACACTGTCACCCTCGCTGACACCCCAACACTGCCACCCTCGCTGACACCCCAACACTGTCACCCTCGCTCACACCCCAACACTGTCACCCTCGCTGACACCCCAACACTGCCACCCTCGCTGACACCCCAACACTGTCACCCTCGCTGACACCCCAACACTGCCACCCTCGCTGACACCCCAACACTACCAGCTGACACCCAACACTGTCACCCTCGCTGACACCCCAACACTGCCACCCTCGCTGACACCCCAACACTGCCACCCTCGCTGACCCCCAACACTGCCACCATCGCTGACACCCAACACTGTCACCCTCGCTGACACCCCAACACTGTCACCCTCGCTGACACCCCAACACTGCCACCCTCGCTGACACCCCAACACTGTCACCCTCGC